TCTTCACGGTGTCCTCTCCACCCAGTCCTCCTCCTCTGTCTTGAGGATTTTTTTTTTTCTTTGCTTCTTCAGAGCTCTAGCCATCCCTCACGTGATGGAAACAGGAAACTGGGCATGTCAGTTATGGTAAGCTGCCCACTCAGGTTCCTCTGGAAGAAGCCTACAGAGCTGCCTTGCTGTCAGGATGCAGGCAGTCCTTTTTTGCCACCACCTGCCCCCTGCACTTCTGGAACAGTGTCTTGAACCCGTGAGCAAAGCACTGCTCAGGATCCATGGCACCACCGAGGCCCTTCTGTAAGCACAGAACCAGCTCTTGCTGCCTCACCACCCCACTATCCTTCCAACCAGCCCAAAAGTCTACTTTTTACCTCCTAAATCTCTCACACCCATCCCTTCCTCTTCATGCCCAAGGCGAATCATTGGGTTCATTTGGGATGATCAGGCTCATTAGTGTCCTTGAGAGCTTCTCCCTTGGACCATCATGGCATCCCAGCGGGCACATGGGCCATCTGGTGCTTCCCCCTCTGAACATCCCTCCAGCTCTTCTATCACAGTGAAGTCTGAACTTGTTGCTCTGTGTTCAAACTATCTGCTCTTTTTCTCCTGGCTCCTATAAGGTAAATGCCAGGTTCCTACACTTCTCTTAGTCTTGCCCTGTTCTCGGCCAGTGACTCTATCTCCTGCCTTGCAATAACAACAGTAGAAAGTCAAGAAAAACTTCCTCCATCCCCTGCCTAGACACTTACATTTATTTGCAGTCAGCTAGCTTTTGTTCCTTTTCTCCTTTCACAGTCTTCTTAATGCTTCCCTAAATTTCTCCTGTGTTGTCCTTTGAACAAATAATACTTGTTATAATGGAAGGGATTGCAAAATATTCACCCCCCATGGCCAATCCAACTGCAAAATCATGATGAAAGAAATCCGGTGAAAACTGCAGATTGATCTTTTAATAAAAAATACTTTCAGGGACTGGGGCTGTGGCTCAGCGGTAGATCACTCACCTAGCACGTACCGGGATGCTGGTTTCGATCCTCAGCACCACATAAAAATGAAATAAAAGGGTACTTTGTCCAACTACAACTAAAAAACAAACAAAAAAAGCAAATTCAACAAGTGTCTATATCTGTTCACAAGTAATCAATAAACTGAAGTAAATAAATTAAACAAAAACTTTCAATATAAAATACTGAAGCTAGTAAGTCAGTGACTTAAATCAAAATTTTAAACAAATTATTAGCATTATAGCAGATTCATTGAGCAGATAATAAATGATTTAACTGTAGAGTTAAAATCATGTAGTGCTTAGTATTTTAATGAATTTTTGAAATCATAGTCATTTACAGTCTTATTTCTTTTAATAAGCATATTTCCAAACTACCAACAAATTACTGAAGAAGCCATCATCTACACACTTTGCCAGCCTGAATGCTAGATGCAGTGACCTAATGAGGAAGTTTGCCTTCTAGATGCCCTTTCTTCTCCAGGCCCACATACCATTGAGAGAAATTTCTAAAACACAAGTGAATTATGTCCTTGAGAATCCAGACCTGCCTTCTTTAAGCGGTCCTTCATGGCATCGTCTGTGGTTTCTCTTCCTCCTCCTCTCGTCCACTTGCGTCTCACCACATACCTATGACAAGCTGTGTACCTCCATGTTTGAGAAGGGTTTGCTCTGTACAACCATGTTTCATACCGGCTGTTCCTTCTGCTTAACTTTAATCTTTAATGACTTCCCCTGCGGCTTTTGCCTTCTGTACTTTGAATTAAACTCTAGCATTGACATTTCTAGGGAATTTTCTTCCCGTGTTCCTCTTCCCCCAGCCAGGCTGGTGTGTCCCACCTCAGTGCTTACCTTTGACATGTTGAATTAGAGTTTTCTCTTTAGTTGTCTGTTATCTCTGTCCCACCCCATCTCATGCCAGAGAATTCACTGACTGTGTAGTCGCTTTCCATCCAGGGTCTGACTGCCAGAAACTGGTGAGGGTGCTACATGAGGACTACATTTTTTTTTTTTTAATAGTAATGTTCCTTTTGTTAGGAGATGCCAACTTTCTTTAATTTTATTAATTTGTCAGAATTCATGTTTACATTTTGCTATAAAATATATTTAACATATGGGCATCAGTTATAAATTATGTCTTAATCCTACAAAGATAGCACTACCCCTTCGCATTAGTATTTGTTTTATAAAATTGGAAGGATTACAGTTTAACTTTCTGTTTAGATATTTATGTTTTCCTAAAGCAAATAATATTTAATAAATGCTTCTTAAAGAGAATATGTGTGATGTTCAAATCAGGACAATTAGCATGTCTATCTCCTCAAACATATATTGAATATTTACATTGTATCCTAAAATCTATACAATTATTGTATCTCAGCTAATTTTTTTAAAAATTTTGAAACTAAGTAAGGTAATCCCTCAAAACTAGTTTTTTGGCTGATACCCTTGCAGCAGTGGGTGCAGATATTCATCTGTGACCTGTAGAGAAATCCAGGGGAGAGGTCTGCATGGGTGACACTGCACTGGAATGAATAATAAAATCAGCTCTCCTTTACAGACTCTTCATATATGTCAGGCATTTTGCTGGAAAGTGTATGCACGCTTAAATATATTTTATATTATATATTTTAAATTATGAATTTTATTCTACTGATCTGTATGTTTCTACCAATACTACCTTGTATTTTACAAATTTAGTTTATTATAAATTTTGAAAATGGGAAAAATGTAGTCTGTCTTTAAGAATGTTCCATGTACAATTGAGATGAATGCATATTCTGCCTTTATTGAGTGTAGTGTTCTGTAGATGCCTATCAGCTGTAATTGTTTCTGTTATTCAGAATTGCTAGGTTTTACCTAATGCATTTTAATACTCTTATGTTATTACATATCTGTGCTAATTGTTTTATCTTCTTGATGGGTAAACTTTTCTATCATTTAGAAAATTTATTGACAATTTTTAATCCTAATATCTATTCTGTCTGATGTTTAGTATTATATTAGTATTATAGCTTCAAGCTCTTTTGGGAAGTTAATATTTCCATCGTATATCTTCTTCCACTCTCCTTCTTTCAGCCGGTTTTTATCTTTGAATTCAAAACATGCCTTTTGTAGGCAATGTGTAGTTGGATAATTTTTTCCACGTGCCTTTTAGCTAATTTAATCACACACACACACACACACATATATATATATATATATATATATATATATATATATATATACACACACACACAAACTCACACCATATATATACATACATAGATATAGATATATTTGCTGCAGTTACCAATAAGATAGGATTTATATCTGTTATCTTGCTCTTTGTGTTCTGTGTCTTCTTTTTGTAGCCTGTTGCTTTCTTTTATGCTAGTTATTGTTTTGTTTTTTATTTGTTTTGTTCTTTTACTGCATCACTTTACTTTCCTTGTTACTTTTCTGAATTTTTGTTTTCTGATTATTTCCTAAACATGCATTGGGGATTATAATTTACATCTGAACTTACAGAATGATGGAGATTTTAGGCTTGTACCAACTTAATTTTTAACACTACATGAAAGCTTGCTTCCGAACACTTCCATTTTCTCCAACAATTGTTTTAGTACTGTCATGCAGTTATATCTTCATACAGGTGTATTTTAAATAAAGTAGAAGAATTATAATAAAAAATTCATTTATATTCTCTTTTCTGTTTACCTAAGTATTTACCCTTTCCAGTATTCTTCGTTTTTTCATGTCAGTGCAAGCTGCTGACTGACCTTGCCTTTTCCTCAAAGGACTCCCTTCAGTATCTTTTTCAAAGCATAGCTGCAGGTGATAAATCTTCTCAATTTAAGATAGCTACATTAAATTCTCATAACTTCAGTCCAAGCATTTGGGGGACAATTTTTATTGAATTTTTTGTAGAAACTATTTTTTCATGTTTCTTCACATCTCGTTTTTGTTGTTGTTTAAAACTGTTCAATATAATTTATCAATTCTAAAATTAAGTTTTTACAGGGTTTCTTATTATTTTTGTTATTAATGCCTTCTCCAAACCAATTTTGTAAAATCTTTATTTATCATGTATTGCCTCTGAAGTTTAGTGCACAACTGCTGAGTGGAGGGAGATTTCATTAAATGCATAAAAACTTCCTGTTTTTTGCCAAGGGCCTGTGGATATCCATTGGCACTTGTACCCAGTTCTCCCTACTCAGTCTGCAGCTAGCTCTGGCTCAGCCTTCATTTCCTGCTGGTGCTGAATCTCAGCATCAGTCAGGAGAGAGACCTCTGGGTTTTGTCAGGTCTTCCCTGGGTGTGGATGTGGCCTTCTAGATTCTTGGGATTATTGCAGAGCTTTTTAAAGTCTGTGTGGATATTTTATTCCCCTCTTTTCCTTTTAAGTTTTTGGATTAGCCTGCTTTTCCACTTCTTCACTGCCATAGACAGCCGACATCTAAAAACAATTGCCTCTGACTGTTTGCTTCAGATACCCCTAGGGGGTAGGCTTTTTTGCCCAGCGTGAGCTCTGAGTTGGGTCCCATAAGGACAGTTCTATGGGTGTCACTTTGGAGGAGCTCCAGCCATGCTCCATGTTTTACCCTCCACTGGCCTCCATACTGCTCCCACTCCGGCCTGTGGGTATACAAGGCTCCTCCAAGTGGGGCACAGGTTAGAGCATCATAAAGCTCACTGCTGTTGTCAACAACATTCAGCCGTTTGTTAAAAAAAAAAAAAAAAGAAAAAGAAAGAAAGAAAGGAAATGCTCCCTAAATCTATACAGTCTAATTATTAATTTTCATCATCCTGAAAGTGGTGATCCTGACTTTTTTTTTTTAACTCTTTGCTTTGGTACTTTGGAGCTTCTTACTCTACCATCTGTGCTGAAGTCATTCCTATATTATTCTTTACAGTAAAATTAGACATGCATTAGCTGATTTAACTAAAATGAACTAAAAGCATAATGATTTTTTCCAGAAAGTTCTTTGAATGTCTTTGTGCTTCTGTTGTGTTTTAGGACTATGATGATGGATACAGCACTGCATATGATGAGCAGAGTTATGATTCTTATGATAACAGCTACAGTGCACCAGCTCAAAGGTAAGTCAGTCCTCACTACCAGTGCCACAGACACGTGCCCTCCATCTGGGTGTACTCTGGGCCAGTGTCACAGGCAGCTGGTAAGGGTGATTTGACTTGCCGTGTTTTATTTTTATTTCTGATAATCAGAGAATCATTGTCTATTTTACCAACTAGCATGTGTTGACCTACCCATATTTACTTTTCTGTGAAAGCATTCTTGCTTGGGAAATAAAATTTATTTATTATAAAAATTTGACTTGAGTGTTCAGTGTATTCTGATGAGAAGGAACAGCCTCAAAGGATGTGACTCTTCAGTCATAAGGCTGAAATAATGTGGGAAATGTAGAAATGTCCTGTCTTTGTGCCTGAAGATGAAGGTGCCTAACATTTTGTTTCCTAGTCATAAAACTTTTTAATTTCTTAGCAGCAATGCTCGTGTTTCCTAACAACTTCAAATTCCCCCTTGTGCCAAGTGAGTATGTTTTGGTTTCTTTTATAAAGAAGTATTTACCCAGAAATAAGTATCATCAGAATTAGAAGAGGTTTTGTAGTTGCCGCTCCTGGAGAGATCCCTTGGTGTTCATTGGTAGGCGAAACCAATGTTTATTCTGTGCAGAACATTTTCCTAAATGCCTAGAAACCTTTTACTTCAAATTTACAATTCTGAGAGGAGGGCAAAGATAGTCATACATAAAACAAAATATTGGTTTACAGTTATTACAAAATATAAATAACATGGACCATGTGGTTATTTTGATGAATGAAAAATTCCCATTTGAACTTACATGATGGCACTCAAGCTGGAAACACCCAGGTTCTCTTTCTTGTTCACTGTAGTGCTCAAGCAGACAGGGATATTTATAGGTTTTTGTTTGTTTGTTTTTGTGCCCAACAAAGCATTTCCTCTGTAACTTAGGATAATGCTGCAGCCTCGAGTCGGGCTTTGGCCGACAGCTGCTCTTTCTGGTGCAAGTCTGGCATCACATTTGCCCCCTGCAGTGTGCTGGTTAGCAGCCCTCCCAGGGCCTGGCAACCCCTTGGCTGGCACATCATGTGCACTGGAGGAAACACTCCCTACAGCATTGTATCTGAGTATCCAACACCTTTGTAGAGGGTGGGGTGCCCCTCCCATTGTATAGAGGAGGAAAGGAGCACTAAATTAGGTCATTTGCTAAAAATCACACAGTGAGTGCAAAGATGAAATTCTAAGTCAGATCTTTTAACTCAGAGATTTGTACTCTTGTAAAGTCATCCTCAGATTTTGTTTAATAATAATATTTTGTTTGATAATAATATTTTGTTTAATAATAAGTATTCACAAGTATTTTAATTTTTGTCTAAATATCCTGGCAAAACAAGTATTCTCCTTCATAACTATGCTATGTGCATAGTGCATTTCTGGTACTGTTAAATTTCATAAAGGATGCAGTCTAGTTCACATGCACATGGCACTCCTGACCGTGGTTCTGTAAGGCATATTCACACCTGTAGACAAGGAAGCTGAATGACAGAGGGGTTCCAGGACTTGTGACTAAAGCTGAGAAGAGGTAACTAACTTTCTGTGGCTTCCAAGAGCCCCTTCCTAATTCTGCCTCCTTCCTTGCATATTGCCAGGCTCTCCATTAGCCTGTCCCCATGTCCCTCTAGCATTCAGTGCACTGACTTTCAGGTTCAAGTGCATGTCATTGGTTGAACTGTATGTGTGGTTTAAGGACCTGGTTGAATTCCAGACGCTGTGTTGGTGCTTTATTTGATTTCAGTTTGACCCCCATGAGCTCCAGTCCTGTCCTGTGCAGTAACAAGGGTCGGCTGTGATTGAGAAGCTGAAAGCTGAGGGGCAGCATTTAATGAAGTGCATGTGCAGGGCAGGAGTATAGTTCCTCGCGGTGGTCTTTTGTGTTTTGATATTTGACATAAAGAACCAGGGTTATAGCATTTGCCCTGTTGAGTGCTGTGATCTGTCCAGGAGAGACGCCACAGTGTTAACAGTGAGCGAACAGAGAACAAGACAGAGCCATGTTTACTCGGGGCCTGTTCTCAAGCATAGAATGTGAAGTGTTTTGCTTAATCCAAATGGCAATAGCAAGAATTAATGCACATGAGGAACCGGGGCTCAGGGAAGTAAATAACTAATCTCAAATGGAAACCGGACCTATAAAGCTCGTGGTCTTTTCACTTAATCTGTGATAATACGGTAATATGGTTAATTATAAGCATCCATTCCCATTCCTTTGGTCATTCATTCAGTCAGTATTTGTTGAATGTGCATTTTGTGTTAGGCATGTGCTTGATGATTGGAGTGTAAAGATTAAGACAGAGACCTTATCCTTGAAAAGCTCACTGGCTAGTAGGAAACAAGTACAAATATTTAAATGCAATATAGTATGGTAATCAGTACTTAAGTTCTGAGGAGAAATTTAGTATTTCCATTAAAAGACAATGCTGAATTCTGATTTGGAATTTGGGGGCATGTCTCTGAGAAGGTGGAAGGATAAGTAGAAGTTCCCAAATGACAAACACAGAAGCGAGTTCCACAGAGCAAGTCTAGGCAGCATAGAGACATGGAATGAAATGTCGTTTGTGGGAAGTACTCGTCATTTCATTATGACCAAAGTGTGCGTGCATGGAAGGAAAAGGGGGCATGTTCCCTAGAGCATGTGAGGCCCAGGAGGAGTGGGGAGAGTGAGAGGAGGCCAGAGGGGAAGTGTGCCCTACTCAAGGCTGTCATAAGAGGCCCTGAAGAGTTACATGCAAGCAAATGATGTGCTTAGATTTGAATTAAGATAAATTAACTAGCTGACATTGTAGAGCTTGGACTGGCAGATGTGAGCCTAGGAGCTAAGACCAGTGAAGAAGCGTGTGCATTATAAATTATAAGACCTTTAAGTATCAGAAAAGACTCACTAGAAGAAGTCTCCTGCATGATATCTCATCTGCCGTTTTAGACCGATCTTTTCAGGCCTGCAGCTTGTCCTACCTGAAGGAGAGGAAATCATGTGGTCATTGCATGCATCAGCAGCACAGAGACCACTGTTGGCGGGGCACTCTGTTCGCTCATTAATCCAAGTAATGTGTACAATAGACATTGCTCTTTTTTTAAGTTGCATAATCTCCTTGAAATCATTTGCTTATAAGCAAAGGAGCAGCTCTGAAGTAGGTCTGTCGGGCCGTGAGCACACAGCACACAACTCTTCTGTGTAGTGCTCTCGGCTTGATCCAGACAACTGTGTGATAACTGAAGGCAAGTACCCTCATTATGGAGCTGGGTGAAGAAGTGGCTTCCTGTAGTATTATTAGCTTGCTAGTGTTGCTGTAACAAACCGTGCTAAGCCTGGGTGGCTTCAATAACAGAGATTTATTTTCCCATGGTTCTTGAGCTGAGAGGTCCAAAACCAAAGTGTTGGTAGGTATGTTTCTTTGGAGATTTTCTCCTTGGCTTACGCACAGTTGCCTTTGCCCTGTGTCCTCACGTTGTCGTTCCTCTTTGTGTGCACTCCTAGCATCTATGTCTATTATCCACATGTTCTCCTACAAGGACTCCAGTCAGAAACTGGGGGTGGTGGCTCACATCTGTAGTCCCAACTGCTGGAGAGACTGAGACTGAGACTGAGACAGGAAAGAGGGTTTAAGACCCACCTGGGCAAGACAGACTCTAATCTCAAAAAAAAAAAAAGAGAGAGAGTGGAATTGGGTTAGAATCCACCCCTAAGGACCTCATTTCAATGTACATCACCTGTGTAAATGCCTCGCAAATTATCCCTAGTATTTTTGAGTGGGCACTAACAAGGAATTCAGCACCACTGTCATCTTTAGTCATGGGGTGTTTACTTTGTGACTGGCACTATTTATGGACTTCTGTAAATTGTCTCTCTCTTCAGTCTGAACTTGTCATTCCGTGTCATTAAGTTAAGAGAGGTCATGTTGCTTATAAAAACTCATGAGGCCGAGCAGGGGTGCAAATCTGCCCCAGCGTTCTCCTGAGTGCTCTTTTCCTTCGCCTCCTTTCCCCCTCACCATAGTTTTGATTTCAGTTGCTGCAGCTAATTCCTACTTGTATTTCCCTCATATGGTACTAAAGAACCTAGTATTTTATGATGCTTTTAAATCTTTTAGGCATTATGCTTTAACCCAAACTGGAAGTTTGGCCTTATCAGACGTGGACTGTCTTAATCAAACATAGAATTTCATTCACACTGCATGTTAAAGTTAAACTAGTGAAACTAAGAGCTTTGTTTTTCCCACTTTATATTAGGTCCTTTCAACAGGTAACATTTCCTGCCCCTGCTCTAAGGAGTATGCGGTCCTGGGGGTTAAGTGGTAGTTAATACCATGTAATACCCTGTAACACTTGATATCTGTAGTCTTGATTTTGACACTCATTGTCTATAAAATTGGTCTCATACTTTAATAATTCTTCTTGTTCAAAATGTGAAAGTGCCTCCTATGTTATGGGTGTAGTTGAGGACTTCCTAGTTGGTCCTACCTTTTAGAGGCAAGGCTGTTGTGGAGTCACCTGACATGGCTTGCTATAGGTCAGCACTGAGCAGATGCTGGCCCTGCATGGGTTCCAGTAGCATGAATGTGGGGCACCCAGCATATGGCCCAGATACAATGTGTAGCAAGTATAAAGCACACCAGATTCTAGAGACTTCATGTGAAGAAAAAGATAGATGTATCATTAAACACATGTATTCATTAAAATTAATTTTACCCATTTATTTTTACTGTTTTTAAAATGTGGCTAGTAGAAAGTTTTCAATGACAGATGTGACTGCTATTTTCTCTTAGATAGGACTGGGTTGAATGAGCCCACTTCTGGCCCTCTGGCATAGCAGAGTGCTCCCTAGGCTGGGCACATCCACCCAGAGTAGGCAAGTGACCTGCTGGGTACAGAGAAGTGGAGAGTCTCCACTCATGTTCATATTCTTCAAATTTCCATTTTGCTGTTTTATACTCCAAGGTGTCACAGTACCATTGCAGTGCACATGAACAGTTACAAGTTCAAAGGTATTTTTCTT